CGGAGGCCGAGACGGGTGGATCACGAGGTCAAGAGATCGAGACCATCCTGGTCAGCATGGTGAAACCTCGTCTCTACTAAAAATACAAAAAAAAATTAGCTGGGCATGGTGGCGCGTGCCTGTGATCCCAGCTACTCAGGAGGCTGAGGCAGGAGAATTGCCTGAACCCAGGAGGCGGAGGTTGCGGTGAGCCAAGATCGCACCATTGCACTCCAGCCTGGGTAACAAGAGCGGAACTCCATCTCAAAAATAATAATAATAATAATAATAATAATAATAAAATTTAAAAAGTAGTGCAATCTCGTCTCACTGCAACCTTCGCCTCCCAGGTTCAAGAGATTCTCCTGGTTCAGCCTCTTGAGTAGCTGAGATTACAGGTGTGCACCACCACGCCTGGATAATTTTTGTATTTTTAGTATAGATGAGCTTTCGTTATGTTGGCCAGGCTGGTCTTGAATTCCTGACCTCAGGTGATCCACCTGCCTCAGCCTCCCAAAGTGCTGAGATTACAGGCATGAGCCACTGCACCCGGCCTAAAAAAAATTTCTTTTAATTGTTTTAAGAGCTAAAAATGGGCCAGGCGTGGTTTCACCTGACCAACATGGTGAAACCCCGTCTTTATTTATTTATTATTTTTTTTAATAAATAAAAAGAGCTAAAAATGGTCAACGCCCTGCCAAAGAAACAAGTTGTGAGACAGGAAGTTGAGATGCCTTAAGGTATGCCTTCTTCCTTGGCAGGTGGCTCTCTGCACAATGACCTTGGTGCCTTCTGGCTCTTGGCACACAGTAGGTCCTCAACAGATGCTAAATGGTTCAAACACAGTGGCTCATGTCTGTAATCCCAGCCCTTTGGGAGGTGGAGGTGGGAGAATCACTTGAGGCCAGGAGTTCGAGACCAGCCTGGGAAACATGGCAAAACCCCTTCTCTACCAAAAAATACGAGAGTTAGCTAGCTGGGTGTGATGGTGCAGACCTATAGTCCCAGCTACTTGGAAGACTGAGGTGGGAGAATCACTTGAATTCAGGAGTTCAAAGTTAACAGTTGGCTATGATTGTGCCATTACCCTCTAACCTGGCCTAGCATAGCCTAACAAGACCCTGTCTGAAAAAAAAAAAAAAAAAGATGTCAAATAATAATAAGAGTTTATGTTTGAGTCTTTGCTAAGGCACTGTTGTATGCTTTACATGTCATTTAAGACTCATTAATAATGTTCTCATTTTCTTAATTATTATTTCATGGTCCATTGTACAGACCAGGAAACTGCAGCGCAGAGAGCTTAAGTCACATCGTTGAAAAGGGGTGGAGTGGGATTCACACAAACCCAGCTAGTCTGGGCCAGGCGCGGTGGCTCACACCTGTAAACCCAGCACTTTGGGAGGCCGAGGCAGGTAGATCACCTGAGGTCACGAGTTTAAGACCAACCTGGCCAACCTGGTGAAACCCTGTCTCTACTAAAATAACAACAAAAACTAGCTGGGCATGGTGGTGCCTGCCTGTAGTCCCAGCTACTTAGGAGGCTGAGGCAGAAGATTAGCTTGAACCTGCGAAGTGGAAGTTGCAGTGAGCCGAAGTTGTTTCCATCTAAAAACAAAACCAAACCAAACCAAACCAGCTAGTCTGATTCCAGGGCACCTGGAGGGAGGCAGCACACCTCTATTCCAACTTCAACTCTCTGGGAGACTCCCCAGCGTGGCAGAACCCACAGTCTCCTTCCTCTGCACCCCAAATGCATAAAGAGCCCATCACAGCACTTCCCACAGCCTTTCGTTCACTCCTCCGCCTTCCCTTCCCCACTCATTCCCTGACCTTTCTCATCCCCCAGCTAGGTAGCAGAGGCACAGAGATGACTTGGACATGGATCCAACCCCAGGAAGACAGGATGTGTTCTTTTATTATTATATGTTTTTTGAGAGAGAGAGTCTCACTCTATCGCCCACACTGGAGTGCAGTGGCACCATCTCGGCCCACTGCAACCTCTACCTCCTGGGTTCAAGCAATTCTCATGCCTCTGCCTCCCAGGTAGTTGGGACTACAGGCACAAGCACCATGCCTGGCTAATTTTTTTGTATTTTTGGTAGAGATGGAGTTTCACCACATTGGCCAGGCTTATCTCAAACTACTGGCCTCAAGCCATGCACTGGCCTTGGCCTCCCTCAGTGCAGGGATTAGAGGCATGAGACACCATGCCTGGCTGGCAGGATGTTTTCACTAGGAGTCACAGGCTCAGATGCTTCAGACAGGCAGGAAACTGAGACGAATGAAGCAGGCTGGGAGAAAGGCAATTGGGAACGGCAGGGATTACAGCCACGTGAGAGCTTATTTTAGCTAAAGGTTGAGGTAGGGGATTATGGCAATGTAAACAGCTGGTGAGGAGCAGATAAATGTTGCACCAGATGATCTGGATTTTTTTTTTTTTTTTTTTTTTTTGAGTCTCATAAACTTGTGTTCAAAATGCAAGCCTAAAGAAGTACTAGAGGTGGCCGGGCGTGGTAGCTCACACCTGTAATCCAAGCACTTTAGAGGCCAAGGCGGGCGGATCACCTGAGGTCAAGACCAGCCTGACCAACATGGTGAAACCCCGTCTTAAAAAAAAAAAAAAAAAAAAAGTGCTAGAGGTATTCCAAATTCGTGCATACACTAAGCTAAATATAATGAGCAGTGTTGGTTTCTTTCTTTCTTTTTTTTTTTTAATGGGTAGCTAAGATCAAAAGGAAGACAGAATCTTCTTGGTTCCAAAAATAAGGAAGAAAATCAAAGCCACAGTGGTGGGGGCAGTGGAGACGGTGAGGTCCAGCAGCCCATGGGAATGCAGGAATCCCCCTATGACTGGAGTTTTAGCATCCACATGGGGGCTGCGCCCGGTGGCTCACACCTGTAATCCCAGCACTTTGGGAGGCAGAGGTGGGTGGATCATGAGGTCAGCAGTTCAAGCACAGCCTGGCCAACATGGTGAAACTTCATATCTACTAAAAATACAAAAACAATTAGCCAGGCATGGTGGTACGTGCCTGTAATCTCAGCTATTCGGGAGGCTGAGGCAGAGAATCGCTTGAACCCGGAGGCAGAAGTTGCAATGAGCTGAGATTGAGCTACTGCACTCCAGCCTGGGCGACAGAGTGAAACTCCATCTCAAAAAACAAACAAACAAAAAAAACACCCACATGGGGACAGAGGTCAAGGCTGAGGCCCCAGGGAACGGGGAGAGCCAGAACTGAGCTCCCTGCACAAGGCTGGAAGCTAAAAAAGGACTATCTCAGATCCTGTATTCCCAGCTACTCAGGAGGGTGAGGTGGGAGGATTTCTCTCTCTCTCTTTCTCTCTCTCTCTCTCTCTCTCTCTTTCTCTTTCTCTCCCCCCACCCCACCCCCACTTTTCTCCCTTTCTCTCTCCCTTTCTTAAATTTAGTGATAATAAGAGAGGATTTCTTCAGCCCAGAAGTTTGAGACCAGCCTGGGCAACATAGCAAGACCACCCCGCATCTCATAAAAACAAAATAAGGCCAGGTGCAGTGGCTCATGCTGGTAATCCCAGCACTTTGGGCTGTGGGAGGCTTAGGCGGGTGGATCACTTGAGGCCAAGAGTTCGAGACCAGCCTCATCAAGATGGTGAAACCCCATCTCTACTAAAAATACAAAAATTAGCTGGTATGGTGGCCTGCACCTCTAATTCCAGCTCCTTGGGAGGCTGAGGCAGGAGAATTGCTTGAACCCGGGAGGTGGAGGTTACAGTGAGCCAAAGGTTGCAGTGAACTAAGATCGCACAACTATACTCCAGCTTGTGCAACAGAGCAAGACTTCATCTCAAAAAAAGAAGAATCTTGGCCAGGCACGGTGGCACACACCTGTAATCCCAGCACTTTGGGAAGCCAAGGCCGGTGGATCACAAGGTCAGGAGATTGAGACCAGTCTGGCCAATATGGTGAAACCCAGTCTCTATTAAAAATACAAAAATTAAGGCCGGGTGCGGTGGCTCAAGCCTGTAATCCCAGCACTTTGGGAGGCCGAGGCGGGTGGATCACGAGGTCAACAGATCGAGATCATCCTGGTCAACATGGTGAAACCCCGTCTCTACTAAAAATACTAAAAATTAGCTGGGCATGGTGGCGCATGCCTGTAATCCCAGCTACTCAGGAGGCTGAGGCAGGAGAATTCCTTGAACAGAGGAGGCGGAGGTTGCGGTGAGCCAAGATGGCACCATTGCACTCCAGCTGGGCAACTCCTCAAAAAAAAAAAAAAAAAGAGGCCGGGCGCGGTGGCTCAAGCCTGTAATCCCAGCACTTTGGGAGGCCGAGGCGGGTGGATCACAAGGTCGAGAGATCGAGACCATCCTGGTCAACGTGGTGAAACCCCGTCTCTACTAAAAATACAAAAAAAAAAATAGCTGGGCATGGTGGCACATGCCTGTAATCCCAGCTGCTCAGGAGGCTGAGGCAGGAGAATTGCCTGAACCCAGGAGGCGGAGGTTGCGGTGAGCCGAGATCGCGCCATTGCACTCCAGCCTGGGTAACAAGAGCGAAACTCCGTCTCAAAAAAAAAAAAAAAAAAAAAAAAAAAATCCATCCCCAGGCTCTGGCACACAACGTGGAAGTGAGCCACCTGACAGACAATAGATGGAAGAAGCCATCCAGGCACTCAGAACTCCAAGGCTGACCGAAGTATAGGCTTGGAGTCAGCCCAAACCTCTGGTGCAGAAACCTGTTCTGAGGAACTAATAAATAACATAGAAACTTGTGTAGCCTGCAATACTGTGCCAAGAGCCAAAGCGAGCTGGCCCCAGGGGTTGTCAGTAGGGGCGCAGGAACCCAGGAGACTGTCACAGGCAGGAAAAACACAAAGAAGTCAAAGACACTGGCCTCAGCCTCCCACAGTGCTGGGAGTACAGGTGTGGGCCACCGTGCCAGGAAAAGGCCCTTTGTATGCAGAAGGCAGCCCTCCCTCCTCCACGGGATTCAAGATGCTTTTCCTTCCCTTCCCACACAAGGGCACTACTTCATAAGATTGGAAGAGCTCGTTGAGTTTATTTAGGGAATGCAAAAGGGACCGGAAGTATCACTGGCATGTATACACACACACACGCACACACACGCACCTGCACGCATGTACACACATGCACACATCCTGAGCAACATTGCTCCAGAGGTTGGCATCATATCTGCTTGAGGTCTTCAGATTTCAGAGTCAGGCGTGAATCTTGAGGACTTGAGGAGATCCAGGCTGTGCAGAAGAAACAGTGATGGGGAAGGGTCCAGCAGCCCCTCCCTCTGGCCACCAGGCCCTAGGAGCCCTGTTCCCTCTTCCTCCTTGACAGCCAGCACCACTGCCATCCCTGCCTATCTCCCTCCCTCCCCCCTTCCCCTAGGGGCAGTCCCAGCTCACCTGGCCACCCGAGGATCACCTGGCACCCCAGGTGCCCACGTGGCCTCCTCCTCCCCACGCTGGGTCTGGCCCATCAGGATTATCCATGTTCTCATAAGAGTCTGCATCTGGACAGAACCAGGGACAAGGAGAATACGGGTGGCACTGGAAGGGGGCTGGGAGGTGAAGTCAGCTTAGGGGACGGCAGCAGAAGTACCCACCTTCCTCATGATTGGGTCCAGGCTGGCCCCGAATGGAGCAGAGCTGGGGGGCTGAATACAGAATCCCTCTCATATCCTCATAGGACTGGGACCCTGCTTGGGCAGAGACGGATAATTGGAGGCTTGGGTGTGGAAAGTACAGCCTACGGTAGGGAGGGAGACTGAGGGACAGAGGAAGGTGAGGGGCATCACCCGAGCTATGCTGGGCAGGGGCAATTCGGCCAGCATCGGGTTTGGGGCCCTGGTTAGCTGTAGATTCAGCATTAGGTAGGGGTTAGATTATGGCTAGAGAAGAGGTCAAGAACAGAATTGGCCAGGTTTGGTGGTTCACGCCTGTAATCCCAGCATTTTGGGAGGCCGAGGCAGGCAGATCACTTGAGGTCAGGAGTTTGAGACCAGTCTTGCCAACATGGCGAAACCCCATCTCTACTGAAAATACAAAAATTAGCCAGGGGTGGTGGCGAACATCTGTAATCCCAGCTACTCACGAGGCTGAGGCCTGAGAATCGCTTGAAACTCTGGGAGGCAGAGGTGGCAGTGAGCCACTGCACTCCAGCCTTGGCAACAGAGTGAGACTCAGTCTCAAAAAAAAACCACAGAAAACTGGAGGGAGTCAGAGTCATGAAGAAGCCGCAGAGCGAGCTGGGGTCCACCTTTCTGTCTGCACTGGGGCTGAGATGCGGCAGAGATCAAGTCCAGGCTGGTGCCGGATTGAGAGCCGTGTTGACATTCACAGTTAGGGAGGGGGTGAGCATTGGGGGTCAGGATGGGGAATGGGGATCAGTGGTGAGGATAGAGTTAGAAGTGAAATCTAAGGTCAGGATTGGGTTTGGGGTCAGAGTCAGGTCAAAGTCGGGTCTGGTGTCAGAGCTGAGTCCCCGCCATCCAAGCTGGGCAAGGCAGTCTGATCACAAGCAGCTCTCACCCAGGGAGGTTGCTTCCCGGCTGGGGTCCCAGGCAGATCCATGGGGGCTCAGGAAGTCTGGAAAGGGAAGAGGGAGGTTGCTATTCCTCCTGGCCTCCAAGCATCCTTCACCTCCCCCCTGGACTGTTACCGTTCTCACACACACCCATTGTCCTGGAGACTGGCTGGGTCAGCTCTTCATCCTCGTTCTCATAAGACTCAGCTGCGGCAAAAGAGAGAGAACTCCAGGGACCCCTTCTAGGGGTATCACAGTGCTGCAATTACCCCTAAGTCTCTGAGGTCCCACAAAGGCCCCAAGTTACCATTGGAGAAGGAGTCTTCATCCTCAGGACCCAGGGGCTCGTCCTCAGGGTTTTCGTAGCCGCTGCCATCTGGTGGAGAAGGAGGGGTGTCCATAGGTGTCCACAGTTCACCACAGAGAAGTGGAGGGCCACGAGGGAGAGCAGCCTTACCCTGGGAGAGCTGGTCCTGCCCAAGGTTGGAGTCGTTCTCATAGAACTCGGAGCCCTCCTCACTGTCCGGCTCCTCATAGCCCTCCCCTTCCTCTTCTTCTGGGCCTGGGGATTTGGGGATGGGGATGGGGATGGGGAACCGAGTCAGAGGGGAGAAGCCCCCTCTCCTCCATGCCCCAGTCCACTATTCCGGTCACAGACCGCTCCAACCCTCTCCATGTGGGGAACAACCCTTTCCTCCCCCAGTCATTCACCCGCTCCCGGGGGGCTCCGGGACCCCACGGCTCCATCCGCCTCGACGTCGCTGCGCGGGTTTCCATAAGACGGGGCGGTGCCCCCCAGGCCTGCGGCCCAACGCTGGGCGCGTCCTGGCGAGAGGGGCGTTGTAAGGAGGGATCAGAAGAGATGGGGGCGGTCAAGGCTAAGGATCCGCGCGGCAGGGCGCAAGGAGAGGATGCTTTGGGCTCTGCGAATGGACTCTTGAGTCTAGGAACCTGGCCATGAACCATGGGGCGGGATCTAAATCTGAAGCCTCCAGTTCTGGAGCAAGGTTCTGCTTTTGAACGGGACTTCAGGCTCTGGGTCCTGGGTGCGGGGCTCTGCGCCCTGGAGGCGGGGCCTGCTTCTAGGGGCGGGGCTCATATCTGGGTGGGACTCCCCATCCCGGGGGCGGAGTTCCGAGCTCCAGAAGGCTTGGCGCACAGCGGATTGGAGGGATGGGGAGAGTAGGGGTGGAGTCCTGGCTCTGGGGCGGAACTATGTAGGCTGGAGGGGCAGTGCCTCTTACCGAGGCCTGAGGTGGGTGTGGGAAGGGATAACACATTCCCGTACTGGTTCTGGGGCCCGCTTCCTGGGGGAGGCGTCACTTTGAAGAATCTGGAGGGAGAAGGGAAGGTGCACGGTGAGGCTAACTTGGAAAGGAATGGCGGATCCACTCAAAATTTTGTCCAGGCCTTCAGAGGTTAAACGTGACCACTTGTGATTAGCTCCTCTGTGCTGGGACAGCCAATAGAGGAGTCTGGGATGATCATTTCCAAGGAGGTCTTCACAGAGGAGGTAGCTTTGGAGCTGGGCTTTGAGGTTGGGCAGTATTTGAAACAGTAGAGACGGAGCAAAGACCCCCTGGGCAGAGGAAATATTAAGTGCAAGGCATAGAGTGAAGGTAGAGGGTGCTGGGGAGGGAACGGGTTGCATTACCTCCTGGCGGGGTCAGTCATTCGCTTTCTTTTTCTCCTTAGGACCAGGGCTGGTGGGAATTAAAGGGAGTGATCAGAGGAGGGGCTGCTTGGTAGGGTAAGGATTTGGGGGGCAGGGTACTGGGGAGGTCAGTTGGTCCAACAGAGGAGATGGGAGTTCAAATTGCAAGGGGGCCGGCCGGGCGTGGTGGCTCCTGCCTGTAATCCCAGCACTTTGGGAGGCCAAGTCGGATGGATCACGTGAGGTCAAGAGTTCAAGACCAGCCTAGCCAGCATGGTGAAACCTCATCTCTACTAAGACAGGCGCCTGTAAGCCTAGCTACTAGGGAGGATGAGGCAGGAGAATCGTTTGAACCCGGGAGGCGGAGGTTGCAGTGAGCCGAGATCGCACCACTGCACTCCAACCTGGGCAATAGAGCAAACTCTCTGTCTCAAAAAAAAAAAAAAAAAAAAAAAAAAAAAAAAAAAAAAAATTCAAAGGAGCCTCGAGTGGTGGCTCACACCTGTAATCCCAGCACTTTAGTAGGCTGAGGCTGGTGGACTGCCTGAGCTCAGGAGTTCAAGACCAGTGTGGATGACATGGCAGAACCCTGTCTCTACTAAAAATACAAAAGATTAGCTGGGTGTGGTGGCACACACTTATAGTCCCAGCTATTCAGGAACCTGAGGCAGGAGAATCACTTGAGCCAGGAGACAGAGGTTGCAGTGAGCTGAGATCGCACCACTGCACTCCAGCTGGGGTGACAGAATGGGACCCTGTCTCACCAGAAACAAAAACAAACAAACAAACAAAAATTGCAAGAGGCTTGGGAAGTTTGAGGGAGGCTAGAGGGAGATGGGGGGAACAGGATTCTAGGGTCTTGTTGGGAGGGATGGGAGGAAAGAAAGATGGTTGTCAGACTGACCAGAGCAGGCTTATCCTGGGGAAGATGGAGTAGGATTTGGGCAGATCCACTGGGGACATGACTCACCTCTTTGAAGATGAAGAATGCCCACCAGGGAACCCAGGCAGAAGATCATATAAGTCAAAGTCACAGCTGGGACCTTCCAGCCACCAGTCCTCACCAGCCAGTGCCATAGTGCTAGGGGGAAGGGGCTATGAGATGAGGACCCCAGGCTGGCATCTTACATCCCAATCCCGAGACCTCAAAGGACCAAAAATCTGGGGCTCAGAGGCAAGACACAGACTCAGCCAGGTGCGGTGGCTCACTCCTGTAATCCCAGCACTTTGGGAGGCCAAGATGGACGGATCACCTGAGGTCAGGCATTCAAGACCAGGTTGGCCAAAATGGTGAAACCCCGTCTCCACTAAAAATACAAAAAAAATTAACCAGGCATGGTGGTGGTCGCCTGTAATCCCAGCAACTTGGGAAGCTGAGGCAGGAGGATTGCTTGAACCCTGGAGGTGGAGGTTTCAGTGAGCTGAGATCATTGCGCTCCAGCCTGAGCAACAAGAGCGAAACTCCATTGAGAGAGACAGAGAGAGAGAGAGAGAGAGAGAGAGAGAGACAGAGACAGAGACAGAGACAGAGACAGATTCAAAGTCCCAAGCTGTGAAAAAGGCTCTCCTCTCTCGAAGGAGCCTATGTCCCAGGAGGTCAGGGATTGTCACAGAGCCTGGCACAGGACATGGGGCAGTGTCTTTTGAGCAAATCTTGGGCAATCCATGCCTGTATTCAGAGGCAATGTGTGGATTGAGGGGAGCATAATGATCAGTTTCCTGCTGCAGTAAGGATAGTCATGGTCAAAGTGAAGGGCAGAGTTGAGTTGGCAAGGTTACAGCTGGGACCCAGCACATTGCTTGGATCAAGTTTGCAGTGCAAGTTGGGGTTGGGTTTGAGAATTGTGGCCAGGATAGCATGGTGGGATTGTGTGAAGGAGAGAGAACTGGCAGGACACTGACCAATGTGCCGGACAGGGTGAGGAAAAGGGAGGATGCCCAAGTTCTCAGCCTGGGCAAGGGAGCAGGTGGTGGTGCCTGCTGCTTCCACAGGGCCACCAAGAAGACTATACTTGGCCGGGCGCGGTGGCTCAAGCCTGTAATCCCAGCACTTTGGGAGGCCGAGGCGGGTGGATCACAAGGTCAAGAGATCGAGACCATCTTGGTCAACATGGTGAAACCCCGTCTCTACTAAAAATACAAAAAAAATAGCTGGGCATGGTGGCACGTGCCTGTAATCCCAGTTACTCAGGAGGCTGAGGCAGGAGAATTGCCTGAACCCAGGAGGCGGAGGTTGCGGTGAGCCGAGACCGCGCCATTGCACTCCAGCCTGGGTAACAAGAGCGAAACTCCGTCTCAAAAAAAAAAAAAAAAAAAAAAAGAAGACTATACTTGGGGAAGACATTGAGTTTGATTTTGTATCTGTTGAGCCTGAGGTGTCCATGGGACATCAAATGGCCCAGGAGATGGCTGAGTATGGAGCCTGGAATAGAGTCACCGAGGCATGGTGACCCAAGAAGCCACTGGGAGTCAAGGTCAAATGGGAAAGCATGCAGAGAAGGATGAGAAGGGGGCCCATGGCTCCAAGAGGGAGGAGTTGGGGAAGAAGGAAGACTCCACCCAAGGTCGTGGGCAGGAGCAGGCAGTGGTAGGTGAAGACCCAGAAAAGTAGTGTCTTGGAAGCAAGGGAAGAAAGGTTTGAAGTCTAGGCCGGGTGCAGTGGCTCACACCTGTAATCCCAGTACTTTGGGAGGCCAAGGCAGGCAGATCACCTGAGGTCAAGAGTTCTAGACCAGCCTGGTCCAACATGGCGAAACCCCACCTCCACTAAAAATACAAAAATTAGGCCTGGCCATGCACAGTGGCTCATGCCTGTAATATCAGCACTTTGGGAGGCCGAGGCAGGTGGATCCCAAGGTCAGGAGTTCGAGACCAGCCTGGCCAACATAGTGAAACCCTATCTCTACTAAAAATACAAAAAATTAGCTGGGTGTGGTGTTGGGCACCTATAATCCCAGCTACTCAGGAAGCTGAGGCAGAAGAATCTCTTGAACCTGGAGGGTAAAGGTTGCAGTGAGCCGAGACGAGATGGCACCACTGCACTCCAGCCTGGGAGACAGAGCGAGACTCTGTCAAAAAAAAAAAAAAAAAAAAAAAGACTTGGAGTCAGTGTTCTGTGTGGAAGTTGGGGTATGTAGTGAGGCTGGGAGTAGCCCTGAGGCTGGGGGAATCTAAGATTGACTGGCTTCCACTTCTTCCCGGACCCCCGCACAGAGAAACTCTACCTGACCGGGCAGTAATCTCCAAGTGCCATGAGATGGTCAGGTTGCCACGGTGACAATAATACTTTCCAGCATCTTGAGCTGTGGCCTGGGGCAACAACAGACCTTTCTCCATGACCCACATGTCTCTGGCTGAGAGATTGGCCTTCAGCTCTAGGCTCAGCAATGAGAAGTTAGTCTCCTTGGGGCGCACATGGGTCCAGGAAAGGGGGCCCCTGGACACAGAGTCAGGAGGTACCCCACAGGACAGCCAGAGTGTGGAGCCAGGGACCATGGTGAGGTCTGGGGCAGGGAGAGAGAAGACATGGAAAGCCTGATCCTCCGGGTCTCACCTCTTCAGTTTCCACTCCCCTCCCTGTCTCTGGACCCCCACCTTCCCGGCCGGGGTGAGGCCAGCTCCTTACCCTGGCTGAGGGTCTGGTTCAGGCTGTCCCTCAGTGGGCCACACGGAGGCTCTCCCTCCCAGATCTTAGGGCGGTCTTTGGCCCATACATACAGCTGGGAGCTCATGAGGTTCCCGGAAGGGGAGCTGGGGTCCTCTGAGGACCTGTTCTCCAGGCCGCAGCCCCGGCCACCGAGGTCCGAAGCATTCCACCGGAACAGCTCCCCTAGGAAGAGACCCAGAACCAAATGCAGAGACACCCAGGAGAGGGAGAGAGATAGAGACTTAAAGGCAGAGATAAACAGAGACACAGACCCGGAGAGAGAGACAGAGAGAGAAGACAGTGAGCCGCGGAGGGACAGGAAGCAGCTCATGCTGAGGCCACAGAGCCGCCGGTGTCGCCCACCTAGCTGAGTTTCGGCCCTCAGCCCCTCCAGTCCCTCTCTCCAGCTCCTCTGGGGCCGCCACACCTCTTCCATCCCCGGTGGCCCCCCTCCTCTCCTCCTGCCCCTGTCCCAGCCCGGCCAGCCCGGCCCTCACCACTGCCCTCCACACTGACTGTCCAGCCAGGCTGCCAGGCCTTCTCGGAGGGGGGCCCTCGCTGGCACAGGTAGAAGCCCCCCATCTGGTGAGAGACATTGAAGATGAAAAGCCAGATGCCCCTGGGCCCCACGTGGATTCCCAGGCCTGGCAGCCCCAGGCTGAGTTTTAAGAAGGGTTCGAGCGACGGGGACTCCCGCCGCCAGGCCAGTTGCTGAGCAGGGTCATGTGAGGTCTCCTCAAGGCACAACAGCACAGCGTCATCTCCCTCTGTGGAGAGACACGGGGAGAGAGGTGTGGGGATGGGTGGGGGACCTCTGAGCCCCCGTCACTCCTCACACTGGGTGACAGAGCAGAGGACTCCAAAAGCTGGGAGTGGAGGAGCCAGCAGAGTCCTTCCAACCCCTCCCTGAAATCTACAAACAAGAAAATGGAGGCTCAGAGAGGGTAAGTGACTCAGCTGAGAACCCCCAGCCACCACCCAAGTTTCCAGACACAATCCCTTCCCTTTCTGCTCTTTGGACATACCTTCCACCTTTACCAGTCGAGGTTCCTGGGGCCTGACTCCCATGGGGGTGAGGAAGAGGAGGAAGAAGAGGAGGCAAGGAGGTGGCATGCTGGTCAGACTCCCCGGGGCACCCAGCTTCGCGCAGGGGATGCTGGGGCAGGCAGGGGCCTGGAGGGCACTGAACCATGAGTGTCTGCGAGGGCGGCAGGCAGTCCCCCTGAAGAGGAAGGGGGTGGTCACGCCTCAGGCCCCCTTCTCCAGGAACCCCTCCAGACCCACACAACCTGCCTTCTCCCTGCCACGCTGTTTTATTTTCACCCCAGCTCTCAGCACCATGGGAAATGATCTTGTGTGTTTACTTGTTCACTTCTGTTTTCTGCACAAGAATGTGAGCCCCTTGGAGCAGAGACCGTGTTGTTCACCACTAATTCCAAGTGCCCTAGAACAGTGCTGGGCACATAGTAGGCACCTGATAAATATTTGCTGCATGAGCAGATTCAGCCTTTGGGGCTCCCTCCTTCTCCCTCTCCCTCCTCTTCTGAATCCCAAGTTCTGAATCCATGTCTATTCACTCACATACACCCCATTCATTCATTCATGCAGCAAACATTTCACGGCTTCTCTTTTTGCCTCCACCCATCCACCCCCTAACACACTTTGGGTTCTGGTTGACCTGAGTTTGAATCTTGTGCCTCCGCCATTTGGCTAACTCTCTTCATCATTCAAAGCCTCAGTTTATTTCTCTATCAACTGGGAATAATAATAGTTCTAAACAGACTGCGCGTGGTGGCTCATGCCCGTAATCCCAGCACTTTGGGAGGCCAGAGCAGGTGGACCACTGGAGGTCAGCAGTTCCAGACCAGCCTGGCCAATATGGTGAAACCCCGTGTCTACTAAATATACAAAATTAGCCGAACATGGTGGCATGCGCCTGTAATCCCAGCTACTTGGGAGGCTAAGGCAGGAGAATCGCCTGAACCTGGGAGGCAGAGGTTGCAGTGAGCTAAGATCACACCACTGCACTCCAGCCTGGGCATGAGAGGGAGACTCTGCTTCAAAAAAAAAAAAGGAAAAAGAAAACAGTTCTATACAAATATTGTTTGTTCGTGAAGATTAAATAGGACAATATGTTTGTATTAAGTAATGGCTAAGAGCTCAAGTCATACTGCCTCAGTTCAAAACCAGGCACAGTGATGCACGCCTATGGTCCCAGATCCTTGGGGAGTTGAGGTAGAAGGATCACTTGACCCCAGGAGTTCCGGGCCACGGTGTGCCATGATTATGGCTGGGATTAGCCACTGTGCTCCAGACTGGGCAACACAGCAAGACCTTGTCTCTAAAAAAAATTGTTTTGAAAGAACCCAGGTGTTCTAAAGTTCTAACTTCTAAATCTGTTCTTAATCTGCCCCATGCCTCCTCGCTCTCTCTCTCTCTCTTTCTCTCTCTCTCTCTCTCTCTCTGCCTCTGTGTCTTTCTCACTGCTTCAGGCACTCAGAAAAAGAGTTCAGGGACCCAAGAAACCCACTTTCTCACTTTCTCAGTGGCTGATTCCCAGGCCCGTCTCACTACAGACTGTGACTTCCTGTTTGCCATGGGCAAGCCCCAGGGGACCCTCCCTACAGGTGGCAGGGCCCCCACTTCCCTTTGGCCAGTTGAGGGGGCTGGGAGGCGGAAGAGTGAGGCACTGGGGAAGGAAGAGGGCAAGTAGCAGGCCTCAATCTGCCTTTCATTCAACAAAATCTCTCTAATCCCCTCATTAGCTTTCCAGTTGCCCAGACTAGCCCTCACTAGAGCATGTCATTACCCTGTTTAAAACTTGTCAGTTACAGCCAGGCACAGAGGCTCACGGCTGTAATCCCAACACTTTAGGAGGTTGAGGTGAGAGGATCCCTTGAGGACAGGAATTTTTTTTTTTTTTTTTCTTTTTTTAGGAGGAGTTTCACTCTTGTTACCCAGGCTGGAGTGCAATGGCGCGATCTTGGCTCACCGCAACCTCCGCCTCCCGGGTTCAGGCAATTCTCCTGCCTCAGCCTCCCAAGTAGCTGGGATTACAGGCACGCGCCACCATGCCCAGCTAATTTTTGTATTTTTAGTAGAGACAGGGTTTCACCATGTTGACCAGGATGGTCTCGATCTCTTGACCTCGTGATCCACCCGCCTCGGCCTCCCAAAGTGCTGGGATTACAGGCTTGAGCCACCGCACCCGGCCTGAGGACAGGAATTTGAGACCAGCCTGGGCAATAAAGCGAGACCCCATCTCTATGGAAATGTAAAAAACCAAAAAATATCAGTTGCTTTTCAGCTACCTAAAATAAAAACTCCAACCAAAGGCCTAGTAGGCCGAGTGTTGCTGACCTACCTAATTTTCCACCTCGTGCCTCTACCACTCTCCTTGCCAAGAGCTTCCCTGCCCCAGGGCCCTTGCAGTTGCGGCCCTTTTTCCTGGATCTCTGCTGGGGGCTCTTTGGCTCTTTACTGGAATGTTTCTTTTCAACACTCAGGTCTCAGTTCAAATGGTATTTCTTCAAAGAGGCCTTCTCTGTTGCCCCTGGTGCTTTAAAAAAAAAATAAGTATTATTATTTTCAAAAATATATCTCAGGCTGGGTGAGGTGACTCACGCCTGTAATCCCAGCATTTTGGGGGGCCGATTGCTTGAGCTCAGGAGTTGGAGAGCAGCCTGGGTAACATGGTAAAACCCCATCTCTACAAAAAATACAAAAAATTAGCCAGGAGTGGTGGCACATGACTGTGGTTCCGGCTGCTCGGGAGGCCGAGGCAGGAGGATCAGGGGTACAAAGGCTGAACTGAGATGGCACTCCAGCCTGGGCAACAGAGCAAGACCCTATCTCTCTTTCTCTTTCTCTCTCTCTCATATATATGGGATATATATATATACACACACACATACACATATATATGAATATATCATATTCACCAGTCGATGTTATAATATATAAATTCATAAAGATATATATATATATATATATATATATATATATATATATAAATATATCCCTCAGCCTCCTGAATAGCTGGGATTACAGGCACCTATTAGCATGCCTGGCTAATTTTTGTATTTTTAGTAGAGATGGGGTTTCACCATTTTGGCCAGCCTGGTCTCGAACTCCTGACTTCAGGTGATCTGCTTGCCTCAGCCTCCCAAAGTGCTGGGATTACAGGTGTAAGCCACCGCATCTGGCTGAAAATTTCCTTTTCTCTACCCCCACATGCACTCTGTCATCAAGGCTGGTCCATTTTATATCCTAAATACTGATAGAATCAATTTTCCCCTCTCTTTGAATTCTTCCTTCACAAACAGAAGCAATTCAACAGGCTCTCTCCTGACCTATCCATCCCCAGTGTCTTTTGGTTCCCATGTATACTCCAAATGTCGAGAGAACTTCTTTGATATTAGTTTTGTGCTTCTCCTGCTCGGTGGCCTTCAGTGGCTCCCAGGGCCCGCAGGATAAACTCAAGCCTGAGAGAGCTGTCAGGGAGGCCCTCCCAAAGTGACTGGAGGCTAATTTCTAGTTATGGTTTCAGACTCTCCCCCAGAAACCCTGCTGCATGAACAGGGAGTCTGGATATAATTTTTTTTTGTTTTTTGAGACAGGATCTTGCTCTGTGTCACTAAGGCTGGAGTGCAATAGCACAATCACACTCACTGTAGCCTCGGCCTCCAGGGCTCAACTGATCCTCCCACCTTAGCCTCCTGAGTAGCTGGGACTATAGAGGCACATCACCATGCCCAGCTAATTTTTTTTTTTTTAAGATGGGGTTTCACCATATTGGTCAGGCTGGTCTTGAACTCCCAACCTCAGGTGATCCACCTGCCTTGGCCTCCAAAGCGCTTGGATTACAGGTGTGAGCCACCACACCCGGCCGCCCAGCTAATTTTTAAAGATTTTGTAGAGATGAGGTCTCACTATGTTGTCCAGGCTGGTCTCGAACTCCTGGGCTCAAGTGATCCTCCCGCCATTGGCCTCCCAAAGTGCTAGCATTCCAGGCGTAAGCCACCAACTTAGCCAGAGGTGGCTATTTTAGTTAGGATGATCAGAGAAGGCCTCACTGAGGAGGTAATGTTTGAGCCGAGACCTTTGGTGGTGAAAAGCTTGGTGGAAAACACTTGGTTTTATACTTGATGAAAAAGTCAGTGCATGTTTAGTGTTAGAAATTGCGGGTGGCTATACCATTTCACATTCCTATCAACAATGTATGTGAAACCCAGTTTCTCCACATACTCACCAGAATTTAGTGTTAGCACTTTTTTAAAAAAAAAAACAAAACAAACAAACAAACAAAGATGGGGTTTCTCCCTGATGGCCAGGCTGGTCTTCTTGAACTCCTGACCTCAGGTGATCCACCTACCTCAGCCTCCCTAAGTGCTAGGATTACAGGCGTGAGCCACTGCGCCCAGCTACTTTTTTTTTGAGACGGAGTCTTGCTCTTGTTGCCCAGGCTGGAATGATTTCAACTCACTGCAACTTCCACCTCTGGGTTCAAGCGATTCTCCTGCCTCAGCCTCCTGACTAGCCAGGATTACACGCATGTGCCCCCATACGCGGCTAATTTTGCATTTTTTGTAGAGACAGGGTTTCTCCATGTTGGTCAGTTTGGTCTCGAACTCCCGACCTCAGGTGATCCACCTGCCTCCGTCTCCCAAAATAATGGGATTACAGGTGTGAGCCACCGTACCCAGCCTAGCACTCTTATTTTACCCATTCCAAGAAGTGCTTAGTGATCAAATCGATTGTGGCTTTAATTTGTATTTCCCTAATCAATAACTAATGATGCTTAACACCTTTTCATGCACATATTGCCAACTGTGACAGCAGTGAAATGTCTATTCATGTCCTTTGTCCATTTTCTTTAAGTTCTGGGGTGCATGCGCAAGATGCTCAGCTTTGTTACATAGGTAAATGTGAGCCATGCTAATCTGCGGCACCTATCAACTCATCACCTAGGTATTAAGCCCAGCATGCATTAGCTACTCTTCCTAATGCTCTCCCTCGCCACTCCCAACCCTCACCCTGACAGGACCCAGTGTTGTTCCCCTCCCTGTCTCTGTGTGTTCTCATTGTTCAGCTCCCACTTCAAGTGAGAACATGCGGTTCGGTGTTTAGTTTTCTGTTCCTGCATTAGTTT